GTACCAAGGTATAGAGGAGCCAGCTAAGAATGCGTGAGCACATAAAAAGAGACAGAAAACGAGTCGCCCATCTGCATCCTTGTTCAATTGCGCATGCGAGAAAAAGATAAAAGATGGATGTACCCTTCGCTCTTCCATTTTCTTTCTCTTTCTATCAGCTCACGGTTCCAGTCAAAGGCGCCGCCAGGTCTCCCCTACTCTATGTATATAAACTCTTTGAAGAAAACACTCTAAAACGGAGTCAGGTATACAAGCTAAGAAATCAAGTTTACATGCGAGAAGTAAAAAATGTACTATTTCATGTCGCTATCAAAATTTCGAGATTTTGCGATAATTGTGTCGTTTTTCTATAAATTAATATATTAAACACATTAAAATGAATGGATATAAGTATAGATTTTGTACAGTAAATCATATTCAAAGTATAGTTGCAAATTCTCTTCTACCTGACTGCAATATATTTTATATATTTTTTAAACAAAATATTTTCTGTATATTTTCAGTTACACGATGGCCAAATCCGATATTAACTTGTTACAAGAGCTGTTAATAAAGGAAGGAAGTCTGCCCGTTTACTACTTTACGGAGAACAGTATTGATGCGATCCACAAGCAATTTATATGTAATGTGGTTTGCAAGCAATTGACAACTTACGGTACAGGGAGCTGCAAAAAGGAGGCCAAGCATAATGCCGCGAGGAACATGCTCGCAAAGTTGTCCGCAAATAATATAATTTCATTGCCAACAGATTATACTCTATCTCCAGCTGCAAACGGACTGCAAAGCCCTGCGAAGGCATCTCCATCCCCTAAGCAGTCCACTCCTGAACGTAATTACATTGGAATGTTGAACGTAAGTGTGTGTTTTGTGAGTTTCACCTGTCATTCAAATATCACAGCTCCAAGACTCACCGCACAATTTTTGCCCTACAGGAGTACTGCCAGCAAAAAAAGATATCAACGAAAAACATTCAGTACGAACTTGTCTACGATGACGGGCTACCTCATCTGAAAACATTCACGATGGAGGTCATCATAGGATCGGTGCGCGAGAGGGGCATAGGGAACTGCAAGAAGTCAGCCAAGCAGGAAGCTGCGAGAAAATTGTTGCTGCGTCTGAATCCAAGTGCACTCAGCTCAAACGCAGGCAATGAAATGAACGTACCGCTTAACGCGAATAAGATCGGCGCGCCTAACAAGGAAACGCTTGAGAACGATATACGAGAATTGGGTATAGGAATATTAGAGTACGACATTAACAAGGAAACCTTACCGGTGGCGGAGTTGTCGGAGAAAGCGATGTCATGCTTCCTCGAAAGCTTCAGTCAAAGGTACAACACGGACAAGCGGGACATCAATCCCTCCTCGATCAAGGATTTTCATATTTTGTTCGAGAGAAATTACTCCAATAACATTACATACTATGTGAAGCAGAAAATGCTGCGAATTATAAGGGACAAGTGCATCAATGATATGGACTTGATGTACGAGATTAGGCGGGATATCGAAAGTATGTTAAAGGTTAAGATACAACAGATCACTGTAAACAGCGCGCCGACGAGCTACATGGTTTGTTTACGCCTGCTGTCCGTCCCTCGTGTCACGCAATTCGGCACAGCTGACACCAAAATTGTAGCCGAGTATCGTGCCACGTATAACCTCGTGATGGCTATCTCGGTATTTCTCAATCTTGCTTCGCAGTTCTGATATAAGACTGATTTTTCAAAAACCAATACGGTCTAAAATAGATTTGATATATGTAATGAATTGTTAAGAACTATGTGCCAGTTAAGGATATATATTTATATATTATATATATATATATATAATATATAAATATTCTGTTGTAATATACATGCTGTTTATATAATATATAAACAGCATATATACCTATATATGTTATGAGATTATAGATTGTACATTTATTTTTTATTGGACAAATGATTGAGTTTAACAAATCAAAGAGACAATTGTAATATGTATAAAAGTATACTCAATAAATTGCTGACACTAGGTGCTAAGTGAATGTTTTGTCAGGAAGAAACTCACTCGATAACCTCGACGTTCCACGACATTGTTATATGTAGTTTTGGACTTTCTGCGCATGTCACGCAAGCGTGCCATGTGTCGCTTCCGATTTGATCAGCTGTCGTTTGGCGCCAACCTTCAGTCTTCACTTTGTTTGCTCTCTTGTGCTTTTGTTTGCCGGCGTTTCGCGCTGTAATTTTTTGCATATTCTCGCGAAGTGTCAATTGCTCAAAGATACGTCGATTAACGTGCGAAAATGTCAGACGTACGTATTCTGGGTAAGCGATTAGGGCAACGCATCGGTCAGGAGGCGATCGTGCTTGGCAAAATCACGGAGGTACGAAGACATTTTTTGGTTAAGTCAGTTTAAGGTTATGATGATCACCGCGGCCGCGGCTTTGATATCACGGAACGAAGATAAATCGCATTTTATTATAATGAACATTAATTATTATGAACTAAATAATATTTTTAATATATATCGTTAATACGAAAGAAGCGTAAATTGTAATATAGGACTTAAATAACGAATTAAAAAAGTGATGAGAACTGTACGAGTCAGAATGCAGTTAATGATGCGCAAATTATTCTAAATGATGTATTTTTAATCAAACCTCGTAAGCACATTGAGTGGCATTCGTGATAACGAACGTTTCCGCACCGCTTTGAACCATCTTCGAGTGGAGCCAAAATGGTTGGATACGTCGTTTAGAATTTGAGCACTACTAACTGCTGTTTTCGACTCTTAAGCCTTACGTCCACAATATTAGAAATCGGTCCAAGTTCTCGAACCAACTGTGTCAATCAACTTGTAGTTTTTACGGAAAACCAGCAGTTTTATTGGCTATACAGTTCTTGATCCGAGATCTTGAACCAATTTCTAGTATCGTGGACACAAGGCTTCACAGCCCTATCATTATTTTTTTCTTATTTATCATTAATAGATTTCTTAATAAAGTTAGCCAGGACTTCCACAAATCTCTTTGCTATTTTGTTTTTTAAAAAAATGACGGGCAAGTCAATGGCTGCATTCAGCAGAAAACACAGCTTTGCAATTGCAAGACTTTAATATGATATTTACTGCTTCTTGCTTAGTTCCTCACTGAATCTGAATGATTTAAATCAATATTAAAAAATTACTTACAACAGCTGCAAAGCTGTGTTTACTCTGTTGAATTAAACCAGACTCGAATTTATAAATACCTGTTAATGATAGGTAAAATACATTTGAGGTAATTCACAGAAAAGTTCAGATGGTAGGAGCGCAGAGTTAACGACGACGGATGACGCTCGAATTAACGTGGTGTTTCCTGAGCCGCTCGATAACAACATAGCGGACTACATAGAGGTGCACGGTACGATAAAGTCCAAGTCCACCATGTCCTGCAGTTTCTTTATATGTTTCCCTTCAAACATGACCAAGGACTTCGGTGAGTAAAACTTCGATGTGGTTTTTTTTTCTGGCGAATGTGTCGACGGTATCTTTAACGGAGTTAATTTGCTGTAGATGCAAATGGCTACAATACAATGCTGAATGTGCGCTGCGCAGCGGGGAATCAGTTAGAGGGAGTGTTCTACGGAGATTAAGAAAATACAGAGCTTCAAGGAATTTACATATACAAATTGTTTACTATGTTTTACTTCGATCCTTACATTTCTTTTTTTTTTTTTTTTTTTTTTTTACATTAGCGTATATATTCTCTAACATAAAAATATAACAAGGAATGCTATAATAAATGTAAAAGAAAAGCGTTCAAACATGCATTCCCTCGCGTCTGTATATAAAATCGATCTGGTGGGACCTAATAAGTATACAAAATAAGTATGCAACATGCGAAACCTTAGAACTATAATAAATATATTATCTCAATATGTATAAATATATATATAATATTTGACAATCTTTGTAATTATACCTATGTCACAGTTGCGTTACGCGTGTAATCCAAGGATGAGCAGCGACAATTGCAAGATGTCACGGGACATTCAGTATGTTGACTGAAACATATCAGATGTAGAAATTAATAGCTGCCATATTTCACATTCACATCTTTCTTTCAGCACATCGACTATCCCAATTATATTTTATTATATCTGCGCGCAGTTTTAAGGAAAATGTATATAAATTTATCAGAAATTTAGCGGAAAGTATCATTAAGCAGCAAGATCTAACTTTGACCGAATAAGGAAGCTTTTTGTTTATTTGCGTTATATGGGTCAATTTTCACATGTTTTGTTAACTTACACCAACGTGTATTTACGACTCAAACCGGCATAAATACAATCTTGCATCCTTACCGAAACCATTGAGCTATATGTTCGCTGTGACCTCCGTGTTTACATGTTAGACACCACGAGAACCAGCTGTTGAATTCTGTAAGCTTGGTATTGCATTCCTCGTTTCTCGTACCGCCGGGACTGGGAGCTGTTTGCAGTCCGCTGACGGTACCTATGTGCATCAAGCATATTGCGCAACGCGGCAAAGGTTTGCGGCAATTCGGGCACGCTGTCATCTATCAATCAAAAAAATATTGAATAAAGACTTGAAATCTTATTAACAAAAAAAAATCAGAGATCTGATATATAAATTATATAAAAACCAGTCAAGAGATAGAAATATACCTTCAATTTGTTAGGAGTACTGCCCAATCTGCCGAATGGGACTCTCGTCCTGCTCAAACCTTGCATGGAAGCCGATATGCTTTTGCCGCAGAAATGACAAGATACGTGTATTTGTTGCGGCGGCCTTTCCTGAGGTGTCGAAGACCTCATGGCAATGTCAAATTTGGCTCTTTGAAACCATAATTTCCACGCGTTCAAGAGGTGTCTGTAACTGTAACAGCGACATGCAGAATAAGAAATCTGATCTGATATTTATGAAAAATGTATTTACTCTATACAAGTGATCGACTTATAGTCTGCGATTTCTGAATTCAATTTCGTTTAAGAGATATTCATCTCATGTATATCTCTTAATAAAAAATTGATTGGAAAGTTGAAGATTGAGTTTTACCTTCTCGAAATAGATTACACCATTCTCGTCTCCTGCTCAAAGGAGATGAGAATGATGCTAACCTATTTCGGGAATTTCAATAAAAGAATATTTATGAGAGAAGCTCTTGATTGTAATACCTCGTTATCCATACTTGAACTTGGTTCTCTTGAAGCAACTTAGGCGGAAAAGTTCTGATGGCAATGAGAGTACAACTTTGAACATCTGAGGTGATTTCCAAGTATCTACTCAATAATTGTATACTTTCCATACCCGCACCTGAAGCACAACGATAAGCGTTATGAATGAGAAAGCACGTAGTCAACATTATATAGGCCTGTTCTTTATAGCTGAATTGGTTGCGCTAATTCATAGTTTATCTTTCTCTTTCCACATTGGAAGAAGAAAGGTAAACTCCGAACTAGTGCAGCCAGTTCAGCTATAAAAAATAAGCCATTTGTAAAAATGTACAAAACATATTCGAGTCACAACCTGTAACCAAGAAGCCCGCTAGATCTCCATCTTCAATTACCTTCTGGGTCAGTTTTTTCAAGTACTCGTGCAGCTTATTATCCGATAAGAACATGAGGGCGAATGCTATTCGATCTTCAACGGCCATACCATTTTCGTTCTGCAACATCGAGCGTTTTGTCAAGTGCCTGAGACATCAATCTCATCAAATCTCGATTTCGAGCCTTGAGATATCAATGTCATCAAATCTCGATTTCGAGCCCTGAGACATCGATCTCGTCAAATCTCGATTTCGCCTTCGATACTTACAAGTACGCTTTCGTAGGAATCGTTATCCGCGGTCAAGAAACCGAATGTCGCTCTCAAATAAGGATCCGATAACTGGGATTTCGATTTCTGACACGACTCTCTCCACAACGTGGTACGTTCTTCGGAGAAGCCTGACAGCGCCATTGCTACCATATTCAGAATAGTCGTTTGTTTCTTGCTGGCACCTCGATTCAAAATGTCTATAGCTTGCCTCAGACAGAGATTAAATACCGCGAACGCGGCCGCTTTCGCGTACGCGCCTTCCTTCTCCAGCTTCTCCAGATACGCGTTATCGTACGCCGTGTTGGTCTCTCTGTCGAATCGCAAGCCGCAGAGAAGAAGGCTCCTCTCTCTGTCCGGCGATCTGCGGTCGGTACCGATTGGAAATTGCATTAAATGGGCGCGAATACCCACATTTTCTCCGCATTTTCATGCACAATTTTTCACAAGCTCAAACAATTTATAATTACCTATAGACTTTTATCATGTAACCAGAACCTATGTCCGTCCACGAGCGATGGATCACTTCTGTTTTCAAACCGTTGACTGGGTTTTGCTGATCCAATTTCAAAACTGTCCTATGTAAAAGTTGGAGGCATTACGTTTTTACATATATACTTCCAACTATAAGTCGCTGTAATTTTACCTCACACCAGGATGCTTATTATCGGGGCTCTGTATAGTGCCGTCTTCCACTAAAGAGCGACTCAAGTACAGCCATTGCCACAAGTTCTTTAGAGTTTCGTTCTCAGCTATATCGCCATTGTGAGCTAACTCCGGCTAAAAACGCATGCACATATAATTATACACCGTTTAAATATAATTAAAGATAAGATTCAAGAGAAAAGGACACTAACACAGATCGAAAGTAAAATGAAAAATAAAGGCAATGTTGAAATATTTCCATTAACTCGAATCACTCTCAATCAATCTCAATTCACTTACAAGTAAGCCATATTCGAACATAGCACGCCTCTTGGTTAAAACCGAGATGTCATCTAGCTCCTTATAAACACTATCCTCACTGTGTATGTATTTAAACGATTTGAAAGCGCAGTTCCACATGAGACACGATCGAGCGGACCAATTGAGCGTTATCCTCTCAGATACGGTGTAATCGGTTACACCTGCAAAATAAGGATTATCTTTTGCAATCTTTGGAACAGTATTGTAACATGAAAGAATTGTATTCTAAGATGAGGTATTTCAAATACCTTGCAGCGATATCGCCAACAATCGATTCTCATCGGTCGGATGCCATGAAAAACTCATGGGACTATGCCACCGTGGTAAAACCACTCTTTCCAGAAATCCAGGTTCCGGATCTTCTGCGCCGCAGTACTGAACATCAAATAAATGCAAGCCAACTGCAAAACAAGAATGAATGCGTTTCTGTTCTTTACTTTTCTCTTTGGCTGGATCTACAATGTACTCTTTGCATCTTGTTTCAATCTTGCTTTTTACCACCTTTTACCACCCTTGCCCTTTTGCCTTTATATATTGCTTGATTCTTCATTTTCGCCCGAGATAAATGTTGATAAATTTCGGAAGAGAAAACAGGCAATACATGACTAGAAACACGATTATCGATAAAACGAACGCAAAGAGGGAATAAGGCAAGAGATAAAAAGCAAAAAGCAGGAATTGAAGAGCAAATTGTAGATCCAGCTTTTGTCTAACAGCTTATGTTTTCACACGTTTAACATCAATTCCAAAAAAACTACACATATGTGCACTAATTACAGTTTAAAACCACATACCCGAGTCTTTTTGTAATGTGCCAATTAGATTTTTCCTGGTGGGACACCACAACACCTTCGTAATCTGCCGTTGCGGCATTATAGTAACGATCGGTTTCTCGAAACATCGAATGTCCCAGATCGTTATAAGATTGTCGACGTGCGAAAGTAACTGGTAATTATTATGGGGATTCACCGACAGATTATATATCGCTTTCGTGGGAGTCACATTCACCACTTTTGCAGAATCTAAAAACAAAAAATACAAAGAATATCGATAGTATCGACTTGCACGCTGGCAAACCATATATCATCTCTTTTAAGAGCGTACCTCTGAAATCGATAACTTTCAACTGCTTGTTATTGACGCCGAGAGCCAGACATCTCGCCTCGTCCTTAAACCAAGCGGCGGAATGTACGGTTTCTGATATGCCGGCTTCTATTATCGGTCTTTCCGAGCTTTTCGGACTGTGGTGCACATCCCAAAGCATCACGGAGTGCTCTTTGCTGTGTTTGTCCAGGCCCGACACGATCAGGTGAGTGTCCACGGGATTCCAGGCGACAACATTGCACGATCGCATGTACTTTGGAACTGGAATTTCATCGAAACAAGAGATTAAAGCGATGTATCATCTAGGGTGCGTTTCATCTAACGCTCGCAACGCTCTCGGAATCATTTCGTCCTTGTTGTTTATCGAATGTTAAACAAGGACAAGAAATGGTTACAAACGTTAAATGTAACGCAGCCCCAGATGTTAATGTCGCTCGATAACAATATAGCCTAATGATCCCTACAAAACTCTCTGCCGCCCAAGCCCTGGTAATCAAACTCCGGCGGACTGAGGCTGTTCAGAACGATCTTTCCATTCGTATGGCCACTGGCGACGATGTCCGGTTCCGGTTGCGGATACACGTCGATGCATTTCGCAAAGCTGCTGATAGTAAAGGTGCTGATCGGCTCGGCGACGGAGTGCTCCGAGATCTGCAGATCTGCGTTGAAGAATGACATAAGGGCCTGTGTTCTTTTTAGCTGAACTGGCTGTACTAGTTTGGAGTTTATCTTTCTTCTTTCAATGTAGAAAGAGAAAGATAAACTGTGAAGCTGTGACTAGTGCAGCCAATTCAGTTAAAAAGAACACGCCTATTTATATGTTTATCATCTTAAAAAAAAAAAACAAGTGTACATCCGAAACGAACTTACAAGATTGCTCGTTCTCCCGCACGCTATTGTCACGCGGTCCAATCTCGTAGAGATTCAACTGCGCGTCGTTGTCCCACGTTATAAATCGGTCCGAGTGAAAGGGGGACCACAGCACGTCCCATTTAGGGCGGCTCATCGTTTATACCGCGTCTCGTTTATTCACGCTTCTGTCATAAAAAGCCGCGGTGCATCGCGCGTTACCTCGCGCCCGCCAACATCGCGCAACGTCGAAACGGTATTGCGCTCAATGTGTACAACGGCACAACGTATCGACGCAATTCTTCAGATATTCATCCGATCGTCTATCCACACGCGAAAGTAAGGCTTCCCTGTTATTCTCTGCCACGTCTGTATGATTATCCGTCCCTTGTGAAACATGCCCTTTGGATGTTTACGTTTATCATGCCACCCCCGACCTCTCCCGTCCTTGTCCTCGTCGTCATCCACTCGCGGGAATCCAAGCACCTTCCGTGTGTCTTCCTCTCGCCGCGGAATGCGCGTCACCGGCCCGCAGCGACAACGAACCACTGCACTAGTCAGACGAACGATAACGGGAGGTAATCACTGACGACGGCGTGTGTAAAACGCCATTGTGAACGCCGAAGCGAAGTGGTCGCCGAGTGGCATCTGAAATTCGTGGATATTTTTTTTTTACAATTTAAAATGTTGCTCTCGAGGAAAGTTCTACCGAAAAGCTACAATTTACGTGACGTACGCTACAGATTTTTAATAAAATTCTCGAAAGTAAACAATGTTTTTGGAATATAACCTGCATAAACTTATTCATTCTTTATACTTTCTTTTTTTTTCCTTCTTCAGTATCTCGTTATAAATCTAAATGGAGTAATAAACGGCACGACGGTAATAAACCTGCAGCCAAAAACGCGAGTACTCAATTTCCTAATCGAAAAATCTATTTATCTATTTATCTCGGTATTTGTTTCAGTAACTTTCGAAACATTCGCAAAATCGTAAAGTTCTCTTCACACGACAATCCCTGACGTCTAATATCCAATAGGAACAGCCATCTCTTAGATACAAAAGTGTCGCCAACCTGAAAAGTGAAATTTTCTCGACGTAGATTCGCGCCAACATGGCGGTCGAGCTAGAGACAAATAGAAACGCGCCGACTTCGGAAGGAGACACGGACCGCGTGTTCGGGTCGCCTTTTCTTTTTACTGTGGTCGGTGTACTCGAAATAGCGTCGCTTGCGTTAGGCGGCTTCCCGGATCTCGTCGAAGTCGGGGTCGTGATATCTCGGGACCGAGAGAACGAATATCGTTAGATACGCACAAGACTGCAAGTACATACATACGTCACATCGGCACGTCTCGTACATCCTCTGTAAAAATGCGAACCGATAGCGGCCACCGAGACGCACATGCCTCTCCTCTCCGCGAGGCCGGTCAGTTACGTCCTGTTCGCTCTTGGCACGAGAAAGACAGAGAGAGAGAGAGGAAAAGATCATTTAGTTTAACTCGAGATCCGAGCGAGTTGAGAATTCGGTTTCTCGGGGGGGGTACAAACTCCAAAACTCGAACATGTGACTTCGCGTGATAACGGAGTCTTTGAAGTCTTATCGGTGATCCCGAATCGACCTAGACTATAGATGCTCCGCGCTCCGACCGTCGCGTTAACGATCGATTGTAAAAAAGGGAACCCGGGTATCGGCGTGAAGTGAAGAAAAAGAAGATACAGGTGGGGAAAGAATATTACATATCGGGGTGGAGGGAATATTAAGGAGTACACACACGCACACACTACATAGGTGTAGAGGTGGGTGACACACACATTTAAGGCTGCCATGCTTGCGCCCCACCGTGCCCTCCAGCCGTACGCGCATTTTATAAGGACTGTACGCTCGTTACAGTCGGCTAGTTATCACGGAGTCGCGTCATCTTCGTCGTCCTCGCTCGGCGCTGTGCGGGAGTCCGATTGCCGACGTCGTCACCTGCTGCGAAATCCGTCGATAGAACAACTCGCGAAGACTCTCGGCGCCTCGTTCGCGACAATGGCAAAGATAAAGGTAAATACAAATATATATGAGCTGTCTGCTTTCCGAAATGACGTTTGTCTCGTTCGGGACGTTTCGAAGATGGGAGAAGGGATTTAAAACCGGTAATTTTTAACCCCGATTTCTCCATTACTTCGGAGGAAGGGCGTGTGAAAGTGGACTTTACACCGATTGCAAAACTTTTTATTTCAAAATGCATTTCTTGAGTAAACATGAATATTATCGCAAATTATAAAATATTGAGAATAAGTCAGTTAAAAATGAATATTTAAATCTAAACGGACGCAGATTGTAATATTAAAAAAAAAAAACATTTCTTTCTAATTGACATTATTTTATAAAATGGAACTTATGTATTATATAAAAAAAAATAAAAAAAGAATGATCTCTGTTAAAATTATTTATTTTTAAGTAATTTTGTAAATCTTTAGACAGGTCCAGTCGTCGACATTCTCGGCGATGAAATGACACGCATCATATGGGAGTCGATTAAGGAGAAGCTTATCCTGCCCTACTTAGACGTTGAATTGCATACGTACGACTTGGGTATCGAAAATCGCGACGCGACGAATGACAAAGTGACGGTGGAATGTGCTGAGGCAATCAAGCGTTACAACGTCGGCATCAAGTGCGCCACCATCACGCCCGACGAGAAGCGCGTGGAGGAGTTCAAACTGAAGCAGATGTGGAAGAGCCCGAACGGCACCATCAGGAACATCCTGGGCGGCACGGTGTTCCGCGAGGCTATCATCTGCAAGAACATACCGCGTCTGGTGGTGTGCTGGAAGGAGCCGATCATCATCGGCAGACACGCGCACGCCGATCAGTACAAGGCCACGGACTTCGTGGTGCCCGGCCCGGGTAAGCTGGAGATCACATGGACCGGCGTCTCCGGTGAGAAGATCCAGCACACCGTTCACGATTTCAAAGGACCCGGTATCGCCCAGGCGCAGTACAACACCGACGAGAGCATTCGCGCTTTCGCCCACAGCTCATTCCAATACGCGCTGTCGCGCAACTATCCGCTGTACCTGTCCACGAAGAACACGATCCTGAAGAAGTACGACGGCCGCTTCAAGGACATATTCCAGGAGATCTACGACAAGGAGTACAAACAGCAGTTCGAGGCGAAGAAGATATGGTACGAGCACCGGTTGATCGACGACATGGTGGCCTACGCCATGAAATCCGAGGGCGGTTTCGTGTGGTCGTGCAAGAACTACGACGGCGACGTACAGTCGGACTCGGTCGCGCAGGGCTACGGATCCCTGGGCATGATGACGTCGGTCCTCCTGTGTCCGGACGGCCGCACGATCGAGGCCGAGGCCGCCCACGGCACCGTCACCCGTCACTACCGTCAGTATCAGCAGGGCAACGAGACGTCCACCAATCCGATCGCTTCTATCTTCGCGTGGACCCGCGGCCTACTGCATCGCGCTAAGCTCGACAACAACACGCGCCTGCGACACTTTGCCGAAACGCTGGAGAAGGTCTGCATCGACACCATCGAATCTGGTCACCTCACCAAGGACCTCGCCATATGCATCAAGGGCATGAGCAACGTCACCAGAGCCGATTACCTCGAGACGTTCGAGTTTATGGACAAGCTCGCCGAGAATCTGAAGAAGCAGCTCAAAGCATGACTCGTCGGGAATGAAGAACGTGGCTTACGAGCCAAGTATTAAGTCATTACGTAAATAATAAAAAAAAAAGAAAATATTTACATGGTTACGGGAAAAAACTAGGCTTCGTTGAGCATATATTATATTCAATTACATGCATATAAGATTGTCGCTACAGTTACGTCACTTCCTCGGTTTCACGCCATCGTGACCGTTTGATTTATCTTAAAAACATTAATCGGACCATTCGTTTCGCAAATGTGCCGATTGCCTCATATTTTTCTCGATGACTATGTAAAAGATATAAAAGGCAAGATAATGATATTGGCTAATGATCGGGCCAATTATTCAACTCGACAAAATAATCGATGGTACAAAGTTATCATCGATGGTAGTAGCATTTCAAAATTTTAAAATTTATACGTCGTTTTCCGAATGAAATAATGGAGCAGACAAATTTAACAGATTGATCAGATAAATCGATTCATATTCATACAGTCAAACAACTGTATAAATTTTTAAATAAATTTTTTTTAATCAAAAGATTTTTTAATCATAAAATTTAACATTTACAATTAAGCCTAACATCAAAATAACTTTGAATCATTCTGCATGCATTAAAGAAACATGATTGGATGAAATTAAATCTTTCGGAAATTAAAAAAAATACTTTTTATCTAAGAGTGTGGGAATTTCTTTTTTTTTTATCTTTATATTTTCTTAACATTACGCGATCTAATCCCCAAGGTATATTTTGCGTACAAATACTGTATCTGATATCAACAATATAGCCTCACATTTTTAAAATCTTTACAAAAAAATTGCATTGCGCGATCTAACGCGTGGCGAATAACAACTTCGTAATCAGTAACGTTTGCTATCAGTTATCAACTCTCGTGATTACTTAATTTCGTCCAAGTGGTATGAACGAATGTTATACTAACGTCAAGATAGAAATGTTCATTTTGCTGCAATCCGAGCAAAAACTATGGAAAACATAATTATCTTTAAATAATTGGAAAACATTAATTATCTACATTTGCATAATTTATGAAGTTACAGGCAGCGAGACATTTACATCGAATCTAGTCTTTCTCGTTATCAGCAAGTGAGAAAGAACGCCAGATAACGAAATGGTTTCTCATACAAATCGATACGTCGATCTATTCGAATCTGTCGAAATGAAAGATATTTTTAGACTTTTAGTTTAATTTCTTATCGTGCATATTATACATGCATTTATCAGTTCCTTGCCATTTGAAAAAAATAAGATTAGACACGATGAATTATATATAATTGGAAATTTTTCACAAGTTATTTTACCAATTGAATTAACCACCGATTAAGTTTATCGGAGTTTTGTCCTAAGAATAATTTCCAACAAGTAGAATAAATAAAAGTGATTGAAATGTATGAAAAATTCAATTTTTATAGAGTCGACAGAAGTGCGTCGTATAAAGAATTACCGTCTATTGATTTGAATTTCTATTTTTCTATAGGTGAATTAATTCCTTAATTTCATTGATTTTATTAATTTAATCTGAGATAGGAATAGACTTCCTAATTCTTTGGGGAGCAGATAAAGTCTTCTGAGTCAGCCAGATTATCGGCAAAAGTCAAGTCAATTAAATATGTGGAAATATAACAAAAAAAAACAAATAAATATTTCAACAGTGACTTTTATTTTTTAACGTGAATTCATCCGCGGTATAAAACTTGGCAAGACAAAGGTCTGTCCGCATATACATATTGATTATAACTCAGTAGATCGTGGAGAATTCGTCGACCTTTCGAAACCTTTTATAAATTATTCACATGCATTATGCGAGAGTCCGAGTTCTCGTCTTACGTAACAGTAGACGCATCAACAATGATTGAATATGCAGATACACCCGCTACATACATTCGACTTACATGTACCATCGGACGATAAGCGAAACGCGCGTCGGTACCTTCGGCGAGTTACTTTATCGACGTTGCGATACGTTCCGTTTTTACCCACCGATTTTATCTGCCATCATATAATGCAGAACCAGCAGTACAGATTTCTCTTCAGTTAGCAGAAAGATTTTACGGGGGGAGTATGGCAAATGATGCAGGCGAATAAAATGGATGGAATTTGTTTCTAAATATATGTAAAACATCGATTAGCGACGCTATTTATTACTTTCGATTTCGGATCATCAGGAAAATTCTGTTTTTGCTAGTTTACTGCTTCACACCATTATACATTATACACGTAATTATAACTCGCTCAAATTTATTCCCGAGGAATACTCTCCGATTGTAGAAATGCAAGACAAATATTCTTTCCATTATAGATTTAAGGATCTGACAAACGATGATTCCATCAACGTACCGTTCGATTGTGCGTATTCAGTTCTCGGGACCCTCGGGACTCTTAAACATTCGTATACCTACTAACCTGACCACTTTCGCGTTGATTCCCGTTGAGCAAAAATTGGTATGTATATCCTTTTCATGCTGACGCTCAACCATAGAAATTTAACTAGATAAATATCTATATATGTGCTCAACGCTCATTTTAGTGTCAACAACAGATCAAAATCGATGAGTGTTGAACTGTTTTGACGCTAAAACTGAGCGACGAGCATCATGATGAAATGTGATGAAATGGTACAGGACGCTGACTGCAGTTCGTTAGCAGATTCGAGCAGAATATTGCGCAATAGATTAGCATGCGTTCTCATTAAGCTCATGTTCAGCATAGCCTGCTGATATGATCAGTAACAAGATATTATAGTGTTTGCATGATGGTTGACAACTGCATGGTGGTAGCATGCACATGCCGGTATGTTTATTTAGAATGAAATCCTATCATTTAAATGATTACGAAAATATATTTTGTTGAATTTCTGCAATTAAATCTGTTATCATATTCTACTCTGTTAACAGATTTTTATTATATTTCTGTTGGCTTTCCGCCGTCTGCGGAAAGTCTATAGCAGATTCGACATTTTGCAAAATCTGTTTTCGATATATTTGACTATATATATATTTTGTACATCGCTAGTTATAAATAATGCATGGTTGAATATTTCATATTTATATCAGAACGATCAAACAGTAATAATGTTTGTATTCCTCAGTCATTCCCGGATCCTCACGAAAATTTACCCAGGGTGGCCCTCTGGTCTTTGACCAGGTTCCTTTTTGTTCTTTCATCGCTGCGCATTCAGCTCCGTACGTCCCGGCGCGCGTTCTTCTCAATGGCGTCGAGACTCGACACGCGTGCACGTGCGCCTCTCTCTCTCTCTCTCATCAGCTCTCAGCAGGTAAGAGACTCGCGTTTGCGTAACGCCCTACTGCTCTTTACACACGCACACGTCGACGTTGTTATCGCGTCCGTTGCATTGCGCGACGCCTCGCGCGGAAAGGTCGCCTCTTCCGACACACGACGTCCGTCCGGTGATGTCACATGCGGTACGCTCGCGTGTATGATGCCTAAAAAAGAAGAGATACAAATATCGCGGAATGGGAATTCCCGTAATCTACGTAATCTTTCAAGCGGAGATAAATATCTCCTCCTCCTCCTCCTAAAGGGTAGCGTACTCCTACTCGCCGCGTTTCACCCACGTGGCAAAACATTCAATTATATTCCTTCCCTCCTGCGATAATTATATATATCCATAATCTGTTACATGCTTTGAATTATATATATATTGTAATGCGTCTTGTTTCCCCTACGAGAGAAATAAAAAGTTTCTTTCTCGCTCGCGTGCACGAATTAATTCAGAAATGTGCATCATTTATGTATAGATGTGGATGTATATAATTTACCGCATCCCCAATTCCTATTTCGGCCTCTCGATCGCGTGGGATGTTTGCAATACTGAAAACGATTAAATAAACAATAACTACCGTCGGCGTTTCCGTTGACAGAAACCATTCGGCTTCGAATCGGCCAGACGCCTGCGGGACACCCTGTATACGTGAACGCGCTTCGCTCCGCCCCGGCGGCGGAGGAAACGATCGGCGAGACACGTGTGCGGGCATCTCCGAGGATCCGCTCGGAGATCGAGAATCGTCGAGACGAGCCGACGTCGGTCGGTTTCCACCAGGACCGGAAAGTAGACGACCCTGAGAGGCTGCGGCCGACGCGAGCGAGGAGACACTCCCGCGTCCGAGTGCAGCGAGTTCGCGAGGAAGGAAGAGATAATTAGCGGTAATAATAGCGGACCGATAAAAAGACGTGACTACGTAGAAATGATGGCTCCTCAGGTGGTACCGCTCTGCGAGACGGAGGAGAGGGTTCTCGGGATGAAAATAGGATGTAGGACAAAGGACGGGCACGTCCCCGCACGTACGAGAATAGAACGGATTAAAATATATGAATTGTTCTGAAAAGGAATTAACATGGTTCAATATTTCCAGCGCGTCCGGATACTTTTTTCCGAACAGTTGATCCAAAGTGGGATCCCCTCGTCTGTTGTAATTAAAGGTCGCTACTATAGAGCGATGCCATCGGACATCCGCTTTCGCGCCGGATGACGACGAGAGTAATCTCTCCCTCGGGTACTTGCCCATACGACTGTAGGACGTACTTCCGGCGAGACAAGATGAAGGGAGGGAAGCGCCGGGAAGAAGGACCGGCCGTGAGGAATGTGACGTGCTTCTTCCGCCGTCGGGACGGAATCGAAATTGCAGATGGCGCCCGGGCTGCGCCACTCCACATCGCCATCGCCATCGCCATCGTCATCGCCGTCGCCGCTGCTGGTCGAGTCGGCCGACCGCAAGCGCGGCGGAGAGAGAGAGAGAGAGAGGGGGGTGGGGGAGAGAAGGGGCTGCGCTCGTTCGCCTTTTCGTAGTCTTCCTACGATCCGCCATCCGCTCCGAGTGCTCCGACAGTCCGAGCGGCCAGTGCTGACGCCGGTGACGAAGGAGCGATATTCGCGATCGAAGCCGGCGGTAACCGGAGAGAACGGAAGAGAGCTCGGCAAGAAACGAGTCGGAGCGGTGAGAGACGGGGGAGGGTAAAGAGGTAGACATATTGAGATAGAGAGAGATAGGAAAAGGAAACGAAAAACTAAGAGGAAGAGAGTCAAGAGAGCGGCTACGAGCGATAACAATCTTTTTTTGTATAGCTGAAGATACTTTCGAGATAGAATCTCGACGCAGCGCATAAACAGGTCTATATACGGACAAACAAACGATTAGTCTGGGTGATTAGCGGAGATCCTCGACGCAGAGGAGGAGGAGGAGAAGGAGGGAGGGGTCCTTTCGGCTGGCTGCTCGATCATCGTCATCGCTGATAACGCGACGCTAATTGTCGACGCTAAAGTGGTCGCATACAACAAATATCTCTACCTAGACAACCTACTGCAAAGAGACTTTACTGCCGCACATTACTGACGGCGGCGCAGGTGGCACGAAGGTTTGTTTTTAATTAATCGTCTCGGGACGGGGCGCGTGTTACGCGCTATTAATACACCCGCGAACGCGTATCGAGAGTAAATACATTCGGCAACGTAAGAAAAGACACGCGATCCTAAGAAAGCGGAAAATGACGAGGGGTCCCCCCGACTTCGAGGAATAATCGCGCGGTCTCTCGCAACATGGCCGCTACCGATTGATTCCTTCGTTTATCGGTTTTTTTTTCTCTCGCACTTTCCATTCGGCTTCGCTCGGAGGAGGAGGAGGCGACGAATGGATCGCGGAACGAAGGCGATCGACGGTGGAACCCGCGTCGCCCGAGCGGATCAATCGCGCCCAGCCGCGCGTCGTCCGACGACGATTCCTCCGCGTCGATCTGAAACATCACCTACTTGCGCGTGCGTTTATCAGTTTTTCAACCGATCCATTCGCACCCGTTTCCGCGCTCTCCACTCGGATACACGGCTCGTACCGTGACACAACGAAGCCAAAGTCGGTCACGATGCGGGCGCATTGAATGCATCTTTCGTTCCCTTCGCGTATAGGAGGGATCACGCGTCGCCGCGATCCCTCGCGAAAATCGCGACGTTTCCCCTCGGGAATTCAACGTTGATATTAGAGTGACAGTAGTCACGTTGTTGTCGACTATTTACATTAAATACCAAGCATGTGCTGTATTATTAGGTTATTAGGAAAAAAAAGAACGTATCTTATCGCGAGAAGAAACTAGCTTTGAAATGTCGTTTTATAATCTCTCTCAAACGGCGTCAAGGTTCCTCTTATTTGTTGTACCTACGATCGAAAGATAATAACGAAAGACTGGTCGAAGCCCAAGCGCAGATAGACACGTAATTAATTAAACCACGTCCCAATAAGTCGATCCGAAATTATAAATTCGTCATAGATAATTTTAAAAACATAACTTTTTATTTGAAATTCCAATTATTCCGTCAACTCCTTCCTGTTCCTGTTATGAGATTGTGAATTTGTAGGCAAGAAAAGTAGAGAAAACGCGAATTTGTCCGGATTAAGGATTTGTAATAGCTATAAGATACAAATAGAACAAGCGGATTAGTATATCTTTTAGAATTATGCGTAAATATCTGTGATATTTTATTTTTTTTAATGAATGCCAATCTTCATTTTTAATAATAGCAGAATCACTCGATAGTCCAAATAATTAATCGCTGCCGTGATGGTCATTGGAGACCGTCGCTATTGAAATTTCTATAAATACATAGAAAATATAAAATCTTAAATAATATAAATAGGTAAATAATGATGCAAAGCATAAAGTGAGTTTCAATCGCATTATATATATATTACACAGATTGTTTTTATTGTATGCCTGATATTTTATTTGTATGCCAATGAAAATTCTATTATAGTAAAAGATTTTGAAAATTAAATTGGCTAGGCAGATGTATTCAGAAGCATCTCTCGTTGGGCGTTCGCCGAGAACCGCCGAGTGTCACTGTCGTTCGAATTCAATTCGCTTGTACGGCTCGCTCGCGGATAAAAGCTTCTGCTCCGTTTTCTCGGCGTGTATGCCTCGGCGGTATCGCGGAGCAGAGGCAAGACCAAGACCTCTTGCCGCAAGAGCTGGCCGACAGCGTGCCGGGGTTAATCATGGCGCCGCCGCGCGCGGCCCGCTGCAACGCCGTGTTGTTCCCCGCGGCCGTGGGAGCCACTTGACTAAACTCGATCTACGCGTGATCCCGTATAAGCTAATAGCGATTCTCTCTTCTCCCGAACGATTGTCCGCGGAGTAGATCGTCCGCATCGTCGACTCGATTCACAATCGGCCGTTACCGTGTCGTCCGCGCTTATCCGCGACTCCCCTCTCCCCCTCCCCGCTGCGAACGCTCCGCTCCGCGGTGTTGAAAGCGCCGACGGAGCGGAGGAGAGCCCTGTAATTGCGAACGAGCGTCAGGCTCGCGCGAGCCATGTCGATCGGGACACATGCGGCCGTCGAGCGCCGATCGTCGCGGTGTCGATGGAAACGCGGCCATATTTACGCTGACGTCCATCCGTGCGACGATATTTGGAGCGGAAGAGGAACGCCGCGCGGAGCTGAACGCGGGACGTCGTATCGACGTTAGGTCTGCGCGGCTGTTTTCCCTCCTCCCTTCACCCCTCTCCCCCCTTTTTCTTGCACCTTCCTAGTCTTCCTACGTCCTAGACGAGGGACGAGCCGCCGACTATACGCATGTACGCTCTGGACTTTGGACCTTGGAGGAAACGCACCGACGAGCGCGCACGGTCGCGCGTTTTCTCGCAATTCTCGCGCCGTCATCTCGGCGACCGCTCGGAGAGGAAATCGTGTAGAAATCGCGCTCGGCCTGCAGGAGGAGGAACGGGGAGAGAGAAGAGACGGAGGTCCCGCGTTGAACGCGCGCGGGACCGACCCGTCAACGTACATATATTATACACGCCGCGGCCGTGCCTGATTTCGCGTGACCTCCGGCGGTGCCTACTTCGAGTCGCCGAGACGTCGTCGAGAGCGTCGGAAGTTTCCTCCTCGCCATTTCGCGGAGCGGAGGATTAACGATCGCAAAATATATATGTACGCTCCTGCCTTATTGCACGCGCGTTTGATCCGATAGATCCGGCCTCGCGACGCCGCGATAGAAGTGGTGCAGCGGCGAAGGAGGAGGTAGAGCGGAGAAGGAGCGAGGAGAGCAGGAGGGAAAAAAAAAAGAGGAGAGGTCGAACGCGCGGCTGAGGAAACGCCGCGGGGGACAGCGCGGCGCGGAGTATCTTGCGAGATTTTCCAAAATTTTATTATACTGTCGGCAGAAAAAAGGAAAAAGAAAATATGGCGGACCACCACCACCACCATCACCACCGCCGCCGCTGCCGCCGCCGTTGCCACTGCCGCCGTCGGGCCGTCGCCGCCGTTGCTGCCGCGTGTACACGCGTGTTTGCGTCGCTTCCGTCGTGAGGCGAAAAAGACAGAGACGTACGTACGCACGCACGCACGTGCGTCCAGTTGATATTTCCGTAACGTGAATTGGAATTTGTTTGGAACACTGGGACCACGTGCGCACCCACTGCGATGGTTAACGGTTAAAAAAAAGGAGAAACATCTATTGTTATTGCGACTCTATAACAATATGAAAAAAAAATCGAAAGCATATAGTCAGCGCGTCACTGGCGAACATATCGCGTGATATCGCTCCCCGATAAAGGTTTTTAATCGCTATTGACAGTCTTGACTCGCGAGAGTCGAGAGCGGTCGGACGGCCGAGCGTTCGAGGCGTTCGCAACGAAACGCGTCGTCGCCCCCGCCGTCGTACCGTGCGACGCGTGAATGCGCCAGCAGCAGCCTGCAGGCGCAGCAGCAACCGCGGCGGCAGCAAGAGAGTACAGCCAGTGGCAACCTCAGCGGAGTGCCATACAAGCGTAATCGTAATCATTAATCGTTATTGCCAGGCGGTGAGACAGACCAGAGTCCGACGATGACGGTGCCTCGCTGCGTCGGACGTTAGAGAACGTGGTGAATAATTATTCCTGAGGAAGGAGAAGGAGGGCGAGAGAGAAGAAGTGGGCGCGCGCGAGAGCGCCATGTTTCCTGCGGCGGGCAAGGGCGGGCGAAGAAGTCTGCGCGGAAGCGCACGGCTCTCGTCCAAGATGTCGGGAAAGCTGCCCCGGTTGCGTGCACTGCGACCGCGGCCGCAGCAGCAGCAGCAGCAACAGCAGAGGCGAATGAAAACGGAGCCCGTCGCCGTTGCAGCCGCCGACGCGGCGACGACGACGCGGACGCCGCGGCCGGAAGGTAACCTTAAAAGGGCCGCGGCGAGTCACGAGGTGGAGCAGCACGAACATGCGAAGAGACACGACGCGATGAAGAAGGGCGAAGACACGGCCACGTCTTCCGGCGCTGTGAACAAGACGATGGACGAGATGGACGAGGAGGGGGACAACGGCGACGAGCTGACGATGACCGCCGTGGTCGGCGAGGCGGAGGACGACGAAGCGACGCTGGACGGCAACGTTGACGTTGACGTGGACGTCGATATCGACGTCGACGTCGACGTCGACCTCGGCGTCGCGGTGAACCCCGAGGAGACGATCGACCTCGAGGCGTCGAACGAGCGGGCGTCTTACGAGTGCAAAACCTGCGAGCCGTCCAAAACTCTGCCCAGTATCAAGGCCTACTTCGAGCATCTGCGAAAGGAGCACAAATATAAGGTAAGCATCAAATGGAGTACGCTGCTCCTTCCAAGTATATATACTCTTCGAGTCTGTCTTGCTACGTGTTTTGTGTTCTCGTGCTTTTTTTAAGTTTCTTTTTTTTTTGTTTACTTTCTTCGTCTCTTATTTTCTCTCTCTCTCTCTCTCTCTCTCTCTCTCTTCCTTCCTTCGTTCCCCCTCTTTAAACATGGCCGTTTTTAAAATGGAAAATACGACGAGATCGAGAGAAAATTCCGTTTTAAAAATGGAAGGTGGTCCGATAAATGCATACGTGCCCATTAGGGATGCAGTGTTACCGTTGTGCGTTAATTTTGCGCGTATTGCCGTAATTTCCGTAGTTGAACGACGTGCTAAGTAAATCATATCAAGACACAATACTCATAGGTCGCAGGAATATGTTTTGTTGTAATTTTTAGGGCAAAAACGGGCACAGTCCAGTCGAAAATCGTTGCCCTGCGTGTTCGTATGTCGCATTGAACGTGAAAGATCTCGAAAATCACCAAAGAGTGCATCATTTGAAAAGAAAATTCTTTCGATGCGCAAAATGCGATTACGTGACGCACATCAGAGCGCGTTATACTAAGCATGTTAAATATCATTCTATGCCGATGATCAAGTGCGATGCTTGTGATTTTAGTTCAGCGTATAAGGTTTGTTCCTCATACTACTTGGTTTCCCACACACAGCGATATGTTAAACATATCACAGAAACTTTCCAGGGTTTCCGAAGAAGCTTTGCGATTACACTTTTGAGATTATATAAGATTATATGTGTGCCTTTAACGCTGTTTTTCAGTGGAATCTAGAAAGACACATGCGGAATCATGGAGGTGGAGGTGCTTTCAAATGTCGTGCATGTAATTTTACTGCTGATATCCGTCAGAGCTTAACGGTGCATGAGTCGTATCATCATGATCCACCTGTGGGTGGTCAGGTCAACCGCAAAAGTAATAACGCTTTCGAACGTAAGCCACGAAATAGTCCAAAGCGTTATAATCAGGTATTATAAGCGTGTATATAATCTAATGTAATTTTCGTACGTTAAAACGCGCCGATTAATCACGTCTCGTTTAATGTATTTAATGTCCGCTAGGTTGGAGCCAGTGACTTTCGGGAAGTGTTAAGTAAAGGCGGAAGTACAACCACGTCGGCCGGTTCTTCCGACTCGTTCGTATCAGATCACTCGTTAATTTCAATAGACGATAAGAAAAGCGCCCTCGCCGGCGCGGAGTGCATCGCGTTAAAATGCGAGGAGAAGGGCTGCCAATTTATAACGTCCTGGGATTCCACGATGCAACGTCATTTAGCGGAATGTCACGCGCCGGCTGCCTCGTCGAAGCCAAGAAAGCCACTGCCAATGTTAATTCCGTTAAGCCTAGCGAGCAACAACAAGCCCGGTAACGCAACGCTCAACAGCACCGGGCCGCCAACAACTCTACTGAAGGTTCCGCGCGTCAGAGTGAGACCCGAACTGGCGCAAATCGCGAGAGATACGGAGCTGGCTAAGATGTACGGAAACAAGGAGGTTGGTTGAAATAATTTATTTTCTCGCCGTTAGAAAAGTGCAATGCGAAATACCCGAGGGGTCGCAACCGCTACTAAAAAAAAATGTACAGTGATTGCTAATTATGACGATACACACTTTATTGCTAGTATTGCTATTGTATTACTTTCGTATTGTCAGTAATATTGCCATCTATTACCTCATGTACTGCCACTTGTCGCACAATATTGCCAAGTATGTTAATGCTATTTGCTAGATATTGCTCAAGGTATTGCTATGTATTGATAGCGTATTGTATTGCCGCAATATTAGCAATATGTTCCTGCAGAAATGTACACCGATTACCATAGTGGTTAACCCCTCGGAAATACCATGTGTCGATGTCTTATCGGTTGCCATTCATGATTTTCAGGCTGCGAATTCGAAGAAGAATCAAAATACGACTGGGGTATTTCAAAGAAAGAATGCCTCCTTCTTCGATAAACTGAAGGAGAAACTAACGACGACAGCGACGTCGATTAATAACGGTGTGCCGGAGGTAGCTGTAAGTAGTGAGAACGACTTGAAATGCTGGTGTACGTTTAAAGCTGGTAGCATGGAAGAGCTAGCTTGCCACAAACAGACGCACCACACCGCGCTCAGCGTGTCCGTGGGCACAACACGTTGCCCTAAGTGTAGAAGACGTTGCAAGAGTACGGCCGACCTCCAAACGCATATGCAATGCTGCCGTTCGCGCGACAACCCGACGCCGTCCATCGATAGTAGCTTAGAGAAAGTAACGAATCGCTCGGACGTCCGCATGACCTCGTATCGTGACGAATACTCTTTTCCGTCGCAAATGGATTGGGATGCGAGTCGCAGAGGAACAAATTCTTCCAGACCTCCGGTACGGTGCTTGATAAAACGATTTAACTATATGTGATAAGAAAACTGCTGCGCGCAACCGTGACTCTAGATGTGAAGATCACCATGAAGTCTGTATGAAACAATTTGAAATTTGGAAAGTTGTTCGTAGAGGCATTTATGAGAATGCTATATGAAGTAAATTTTTTATTGCTATGTGAATATTTTCTATTTTGGCTATGTGTTTTGTTTCTCTCTCTCTTTTTTTTTTTTTTGTAAAATAGTTAAAGATCTACAAGTATTGCTGTTGTGCTGGTATTGTTAGTGTTACGCACAAGATATTTTGTTGGAGTAGGTGTAAAAGAAGCTCTTATGTATCGCGAAATGGTGAGCGTTGATTAGAGACTAGAGTGAGCCTCCTTGTGTTTTTTCTTTTCATTATTAAGAATGTGCTTTACATATTGCATAGTGGATGTCGAGCATCTCCCCTTTCTAGATCGTTACTAGTTGATTTCTAATTCTCTACTGGGCAGTCCTATTTTGTTACGATAAAAAAAAACTTTTGTCAGTTCGAAGGTGGTCCGACACATCCGACCGGGCGGCGGGTATTCAAATGTCCCCATTGTCCGTTTTGGGCTTCCACCGCAAGTCGCTTTCACGTACATATAGTCGGTCATTTAAACCGGAAGCCGTTCGAGTGTTCAATGTGCGCGTATCGGTCTAACTGGCGATGGGACATCACAAAACATATTAAGCTTAAAGCGGCTAAAGACGCAGTGCATACGAGCGCCAGAGTGCTCATGACGGATGAGACAGGTCGACGGAATTATTCCAAATATAACAAATACCTCGCACAGGTGAAATAATGAATATCAGTTTTACATAGGATAATTCATTGTCTTTATATCTCACATCGACGCAATAATTTAACGAGTGCAAACACGTCAATAAATTGCCTCGTGAAAAGGCAATGTACGATGAAAGAATCTCGGCACCACACAATTCGGACGCTTGATCACTAATGCATTGTGACACTTATTGTAAGCATATTCTTAGTAATCAATAGACGGAGGATGTCGATCCTACCTTTCTCCTATGAAAGTTTCGATCGATGTTTTCGAGCGTTTTCTGTGAAAATCGAATAAAACGTTCGCCGATTTACTGCGAGCGCGATACAAAATTTTTGGTGACATTTTGGTGAATTTAACAAACATTATTTCATGACATCTGACATTTCTCGCCTAACACGTTCCACTGTGAAAATTCCGTTTACACGGCGCAACATTCTCTGCTCCAGGTGGAACAGCAGTCGTGGGATGAGGATCGTATGGAGCAGCGTAGCATAGAAGAAACGAACTCTGAGGAAGTGTCGACGAAGTTGTTGATCGTGGGCAATAAAGAGTACGTTTCGATGACCGGCTCGGCATCGCAATCTCCCATCACAATTCTACCGTCGAGCGAGGCAAATCAGAACAGTCACAGTGTCGACGTGAGTCTGCGACCCCCGCCACCGCTCAAAGCAGCGGTTCGAAGTCGCGGGCAGTCTCTGTTGAAAAACAGTCCCATCACGATGCATATACAAACCCCTAGTGGTGGCGGTGCGGTCTCCATATCCACAGCGATGGATGAGAGTAAACGCACTCAGTGGAAGTGTAAACGTTGTAATTACCGAGATACAAACAAGACTAACGTACTGTTGCATGTTAAATCTCATTATGGATCTGCCGATCACGAGTCCATCGAAGAGAGGGTGAGTTCTATTAAATATCAAATATTAACTTCTTGCAATTGTAATGGCCCAAATTGTGCGTGGACAAGAGAGATCAAATGAGAAATTGTACGAAAAGCAGAAATACCTTAGTAAAAATAGTTTTAGAAAAACATTATTAACGTCGAACAATTTATATTAAAAATATGATAGAAATTTTACGGTAGCTATTACCAGATATACGATTGTAAGAAGTTGAAGAATAATGTGATCTCTTTCTCTTGCTTTTGTACTTTATATCCAAGTAACTAACCCATTTTAATTTAATGCACCCTTTCGCTTTTCGCAGAATCCATTTAGTTGTGGGGAATGTCCGTTTTCCGCGTCGGATGCTGCCACTCTGTCCCTCCATAAGATGAACCATCGGCCGAACTTAGAAGCTATATTTAAATGCTATCTTTGTCCATACTACGTTAGTACAAAGGCGTATGTGTCGCTGGTAACTTGCTTTATTAACATGAGCGCTCCGTTTTTTTGATTCATGATTTAATCTTACAATAAATTATTCTCTTTTGTTACATTGAGAAATACTAATTTTCTAATTTTTATCAATAAAAGATTATAATGTTATTGTACACATACACTGAGGATGTTAAAAAAAATCACAACACATAGAGTGGAACGTAATTTCTAGTACAATTTAAAAGGCAATGATTGTTCATATAAAAACAAAAAATTATATAATTTTTTCTTACAGGACTTTGTTTATAAGAAAATGGATTTAAAAAAAATCATCAGATACTGAATTCAATTTAGCTATCATGTCACTTCATCACTAATTGCGTCTGTCCGTGTTAATAAGCACACATTTGCTTTTCGTTCCATCATTTTTCTCAGTGAGTGTCAAAAACGTACTCGTATCACGTGAAATAAATAATACAAATAAAAAAACGTGGAGAAATGCAAATTTGTAAAGTTACGTACAAAATAATTCCATATTATTTCAAAAGATAGTTTAAATTATATAACAGGATGTAACCTGTAGAAAAAAATCGAAAATTTTTAAAGTAGACCGTGTGTGTATAATATACACAGATGCGCATTATAATATCGTGTACACACATAATGATACAACATGTAATACAGTTGCGCGATTTGTTGTGTTACAGAGAACTATTGGAGCACGCTAGACTCCACGGAGAAGAATTGGCAGCTATGCATCAGCAAAATATGGATTACCAATTTCCAAACTCCAAGAATAAACTGCATCAAATATCAATTTCTGAAAGCAGTAAGTTTTGACAAATTACGTAATACGTCGAACGAAATTGTGCGTTCAATCGTACACTAGGACTGCGTTTTCCATTTGACGCTCGCAGCAATCACCAGCATAAGCATCAGTTCGCCTTGTTTACACATTTGATAAATAACAAGGATGAAATGATTCAATTTCAAGAGCGCTGTGAACGCCAAGTGGATTACCGCAGCATAGACACGCGCTGTAATCGAAGTATCTGTTACAGATGTTTCTCGAACAAAAGACGAATCGTCCACGGACCAAGTGATTCAGATAACGTCACGCAACAACGTAACGGCGTCTTCAAAGATGGCAGGAGCTCAGCAGCCGTCGCCGCCTCCACCGCCGTCCCTTCTCCTGGACACTCGTTCCCTTCCGGATGTCCCGCTGGTCTGGGTATCGCGACCAGACGGTACTCTGACGAAGATGCTCAAGTGCCGTCATTGTCCGTACATCTCGTCGCGACGTGCGGAGGTTCGCGACCACGAGACGATGCATATAGACGTGCCAATTCAGGGTCCCTTGATCGAATGTACGGATTGTAGTTTTATGTGCTCGCGTCGGGACGTCATGATCGCCCATACGGAGATGCACGCGGGATCTCTCGGTACCGTTCACTGCCTTGTCGACGAAACACGACCCGATTCCCAGCAGGCGAACGATCTGGCCGCTCTGCTTGGCTTGACGCACACTCCCGTGTTGGGCACCGAGCCGGATCTGCAGGACTTCCGTCTGGTGCACTGCTGCGGCAAGTGCCCGGCGCGGTTTCTGTGCGAGAAGGAGTTGCGTATTCATCTGCGATACCACACCACGGAATTGGCGTACGCGTGCCAGTGGTGCTCGTACGCGGCGCGACAACCGGCGCACCTGTTGGCTCATCAAAAGGCGCATTCGACGGAGTATCAGGAGCGCACCAAATACCTGTTGACCTTGTACGGTCACTCGCAACGCTATCCACCGCCCACGACAGCGTGCGTCGAGGCGGAGAATCAGGAGGACAATGACAGTGGATTGAACGTCGCGTGGATTGTCGTTGAAATCAACACGAACGACTACAGCAGTGTCAATAGCACGACGATTCAGAGGACCGGAAATCAGGTGTTCACGTGCGCCAAGTGTCCGGCTCGTTACTTCAAGTTGGACGCTCTGGAGTATCACATGACACTTCACGGTTCGAACAATCGGTTCAAGTGTAACGACTGCGATTATTCGTCCAAAACTGCGCAAAATCTGTTAAAACATCAGGTAGTACATCGACGGCACAGCGGAACCAACGAGGTAACCGCGGAGCTGACGTCCACCGCTACCGTAGATCCCGCACCGCAGACATCCGCTCCCGAGTCGCCACTGCAGACGCCACCGGATGCGCAATTCAATATTTACATGCGCGGCAATCCCAATTTCGTTTATCCGGGTTACCTACGGAACGGCCGGCTGAAGGAGAAGCGTTACAAGTGTCACAAGTGCCCGTCTGCTTTCGAGAAACGCGAACAGTATAGAGTTCATCTGACCTTGCACGGTGCGAAGCAACGCTATCGCTGCGACACGTGCGACTACTCGGTCAAATATTACGCGAACTACATACAGCATCTGAAGAAGCACCAGGCGAACGCGGAAGCGCAGGCGTCTCGCAGACAATTCGAGGACGACCGGATCTCAATTGACAGCGACAGCATCATCGACGTGACTGTGTCGGCATCGTCGCGTAAATCCTCACGATCGTCCGTCAACATGCTCGGGATACTGTCTTCCGCCAATAACGCGTCCGGTATCGGTAACAATGTCGCGCTGCAACCCTCCAATCAGGACAGGCAGAGTTTGCTGCTGATGCAAAAGAAGGGCATTATATCGACGGGCGACGTCGACACGGAAACGATTCGCTGCCAAAGCTGTCCGTTCTCCACCGCCGACAAGGACGTCATGGACGCGCACAAGCGTCGCCACGGCATCGAGCGCATGACACCGCCGTGCCCGCATTGCGATTACATTCCGCGAAAAGACGAGAACGTCGGCGAGCACATCAAGCTGCACTTCACGAGGTTGTACAAACCAGAGTCCTATCTCATCGTCGAGCTACTGACGCTGACGATGGAGAAGCTCAACGCGAACAGCAAAGACGAGAAGAGCGGTCAACGATTGAAGGAGCTGTTGTTCAAGGAATGCGCCGACGGTAGATTCCTACCGCTCACCGAATCGATCAACTCTCTTTCTCTGGGAACCTCCTCGAAGATGAAGGTCGCCAAGGAGAAAGTCATCGTAGATCCGAACACAGGCGAGACCAAACATCGTCTTGCCACGTAAATCGAACTTTTATCCAGCGATCGCGATCGTGCGATTATTTGTGCCCGCGACTTGTTTATACGCCTTTTTGTATGTAAGAAACTAATCTGAAATTGGTAACGATTTAGCTGACAACCACTCGCGAATGATGTAGATTAATATGCATTGTAAAAATCGATGATCTTGTTTATAGTTAATCAAAGGTGTATATTAGAATTTATCGCACGTTTTATTTCTATAAGATAAAAGAGTACATATAAATATTGTTTTTTTCGACGGCAATGTACAGTCGAGGACATATCGCGCGCTTTATCTGAGTATATTTGTTTCTATTTTTTTTTGCATTTTATCACTGATTAGAATATTGTCCAGTAACTTCGAACGACATGATGTGTACGTGAGCACTCTGTACGAAGTTAATATATTATACGCCATAATTTGTTCACATATTGGCTAGCGATGGGCACAAGATCGAATCTAAAATATGTTGGAAATTCTAAATTATCTCTATATTATTGAAAACTAAAAAAATATCTAATATTTTTAAATGTTTGACAATTTAACTCAAATTGTATAGAATTTAAGAATAGATTTCTATAAAATATCTAGATCGCTAACATACTATTGTTTGTTACCAGGTGAATTGAAGCTAAACGCCATATTTATTCGATATTTATATACAATGCTTTATGAAGTAGTGTTCGTGTACATTTAATAATATTGGTTAAAATTTTAACGTTTTGGAATGTAACTCATTACTGGGTGAAGACAGTTACTTTCCCTTCTCCTGAGTTTCTTGGCGTCATTTTTCGGAGTTAGCGATCTAAAGTATATAGAAATCTGTGAATTTACTTAAATTTTTTAAGTCTTGACTACTTTGAAAATCAAAGATGATTTTCATTAAATTGATTACAATTGGCACTATAGTAATTTAAAATAATTCGGTTATTGTATTGAAATAATTTAAAACAGTATCGGATATATATATATATATATATATATATATTTGAGAAGCAATCTGAATCTTTTATATTTTTGATTTGAAAAAGCTGAAAAATTTTTAAAGAGTTGACTGCCCATATCTATAATTGCCATTTAGTTAACGCGACGCAGTCGTTATTGTAAATATTTATTGACTCTTGTACAATACTTGATAATAAATGCTCATATTGTATATATACATCTTTGTTTCTGTCATTAAAAATGTATTTTATGCATTTTTAAGACTGGCATATTTTGCAAACTCTTGTAAGCTTTGCTGAATTAAAATATTTTATTTCTTTAACAAAGACGTTTATGCATCTGACCAAAGTTATTGAGATAATTTTTTGTTCAATGTTATATATAAAATATAGTATATACATATATATATATTTATATGTATAAAAGTTCAAGATAATAGTATTAAAACATCAAGTGCAATCAACAGTAAAGAAATAATTTTGTTTTAATATATTTATATTGTATAAGTTGCAATTTTATTTTATAAACTTCCCGCTTTGACATTACAATCCCGCGACATATGTATATAACATATATATGTATTTTCGCTCAAGTGCAAATAATGGGAAAAGTACAACTGAAAATGCTGATCCCTTTAAATTTATATACATGATTTTTTTTTAATCATATAATAACATAATTCTAGTTGTTTTCTTGAAAGACATATTTTGATATGACATACTTTTCTCTTACTTTTTCTTTACTATAAAAATTTAAAGCCTGTTATGACAGAAAATTAATTTTTTATGTAATTTAACATATGGAGATAATTAGAACAGGGATTTACAAATATATATAATTGAAAATTTAATGTTTTAAGCGTATTCAATTGAATTAATTAAACCACCGATTAGGTTAACCGGAGTTTGAATAAAATCGCTCCGAGTACGTATGCATGTATATGTATGTCAATATATCCATTTCGCTTCTTCAAAACTTGGAGAAGTGTAGGAAAGAGGTTAGAGGAGTCGGAGCGGATGGACGTTCGTACAGCGCGCGGGTGTTGTCCGTGTCGTGGTCGTCGACCGTCGTGGGTGGACATGTCGCGTCGCGCAGCCGGCGCAGCGGCGGAACGAAGTTCGAGATCAATAAGGATCGCGGCGACGTCGCGCATGACTGAATTATTTTGCGAATTGCAACAATTCCCGGAGGAGGTTATGACGACGACCGGGGACCCAGGTCGATCCCATATGATCTCGTCGTCTGGCTCGCGGGACGGATAGAAAGCGGCACCGGTGCTCACGGTCCTCGGGGCGGGCAACGACGACGGCGAGACGATGTTCGAGGGGGCGATAGCGGCATTTTTGAATCGCCTGCTGGGCAGGTATGTGGAGGACCTGGACACGGAGCAATTCAACGTCGGCATTTTTTCCGGAGATACGTGCCTCACCGACCTGAAACTGAAGCCGGAGGCTCTGGTACGATTTCTCCTTCCCCTTATCTAATAATCCCAGAGGCAATAAAGAGAGTGTGAAACGTAATTGAATATGTGTGTGCATTTTTTGGTATAATTGTATTTTGCAGTATCAACTGGGATTACCTATTAGAATAGAGATTGGCTTGATAGGAAAAATTATTTTGAAAATACCGTGGTCTGGACTCTTCTCGCAGCCCATTGTGATATGCATAGAGGTATCGAGCAGTCTATATGCAAACGTATCGCAATAATAAAATAATGTATATTAAAATAATGACGCAAATCTTGCTTCATCTTTTTTTCTAAGGATGTATACGCAGTAGCAGTACCTGCATTATCCGGTCCATATGACCCAGAAATACAAAAACGTTTGATGAGAGCGGAAAAAAAGAAGATACTAGATGACCTTAAGGAAGATGAAATATTTAGAGCTGGTATACATAATTAAATATTTTTATTTAGATATTTTTAATAAATTAATAATGCCTTACTGAGAGAGAAATTTACTTTGAGTCTATTAAAATTTAATTAACATCTATATGTTAAATTTAGGAAAGAAAGAGAATTTATCAAAATATTACACAATATGTGTAATATAATAATAAATAGCTTTTCATTGATTTCTGTATCTAAATTAATTTATAATTTTCTCCTGTATAGGTCTACCTCCTCAACTATTCGATGGTCTATTGGCGTCAGTAACGAAGAACTTTCAGATTACTATAAATAATGTACATATTAGATACGAAGAGAAAATATTGCGCAACTTCCTGTGTGCCTGCGGTATATGTATACAAAGTATTTCCATAACGACTACTAACAAGTAATTCGACAATGCCATACTGTCACGTTTTCTCTCGGTCGTGTATGCCCTCGTATTATCATTAGAAATATTCAATTTCAGCAAATGGAAGCCCGGGGTATGTGCTACAAACTCGCAAACGGTGTACCAGCTTGTACGCGCGGAATCGCTCAGCGTGTACATGGATCACGACACGGAGTCCTGCATAAATGTCCAGGGTAACTGGGACATGTCCAGTCTGCTTGCGTGGAAGATCACGATGCACAGGGCCCTGCAGACGTTCGGGATGAATAACAAGGAGTTTCAGTTTTGTATGTTTTAATTATTACTTGTCGATCACACGAAGTACCTGTTTGGTACTTTACGTTCGAAAGAGACGTTATTTTAATTACCGTCTTTAATTTTAATGAAATTCTTTTTGTCACAAGTGCTGAAGCCCTTCACGGCCAAGATTAAAATCATTATACACAAGGGTACGGAAACGCAAGTTTCACGTATGTTAGTCGATATTGTGCTCCAGGATGTAGCGATGCAGTTGTCCGAAGCCCAATACGCTACATTTTGTCACATTTATGATTCTTTGCTACGCGCGACTGTTAACAGGTGAATTTGCAAAAATAAAATTCTTTCATTTATTTCAATGACATATACATTTTTAATAAAACCAATGTGAAACTAATGATTAAGAAAAAACTGTACAATATTCGTAGGCCATATGTTAAATATCGTCCTGAGAAGAGTGTGTACGAGGAACCGTCGTCTTGGTGGAAGTACGCGTACAATTTTGTTTTGAATCACTATATCAAGCCGTACACTTGGTCGCATATAGTCCAACACAGAAGAAATTACAGAAAGTACAAGGAGGCGTGTATCCAGAGTTTGCAGCGGCCAAACGATACAGAATTAAAACTGGATATGCAAAAACACGAGGACAGTCTGACAATATTAAATATAGTGATTGCGAGAGAGCACGCTAGGCAGGAATTGAGAAACAAGGACATTGAGCGAGAGTGCCAAATCACAACAACAAGCCCGTCGAAAGCTGTCAATGCAGAAACCATATTACCGGATCAAGCGCAAAATGTGACAAATCAATGCAGCACGGATGAACATCAAAACTCATTGCCAGTTGTAACGGGAAATTCGCCCGTTTCGAAGATAAAATCGGGAAAGATGCTGAAACAGATCGGTGAGCACATTTGTGAACTATTCTTTCTTTATAATTTTTTATATGGTAATATTAATTAAGAAAAAAACATTTATGAGAAATATTTGAGAAAAATCTGTTCATTTGGACAATTTTTTCTTTGTATTTTTATAGATTATAAGTTAAATTTTACTTTGGCAAATTGTTGTCTGAGCCTCCTGAGCAAAGGCAAGGAAATGCTGATCATAACAGTCACGCAATTTCTGACAAGTATTGAGGCACGGCCTATGCTGTTAGCTTTCAAGATATCCGTTCGTGCTGAAAGTTTTGTGATTGAGGCTATATCAACTGATGGCGATTTGGTTCCTCTGATTACAGTGGATAATATGTTAACAGGTACATATGCACCTATTTATCTCTGTAGACGATTATAAACTATTGTAGTAGTGCTAATTATAACTATTACATGTGACGTGCAGGGAATGTATCCACATACTTTTTGGCGATAGATTTTGAGAAGAATGGATTGAATATGGATCCTATTTTTGAAGTAGCCATAAAGCTGGAAGCTATCGAAGTGACTTATCATCATGTAATAATACCTTTATATTTGTTGCTTTAAATAATATTTTGTCTGTAATTTCTATAAACTTATATATTGCTTTTCAGTTTGCCATAGTGGAAATTATAAATTTTTTCAAATTTAACACCAATTACCTTCACAACACGATTCGCGGAGTGTACAGTCTGTGGGACTGCGTCAAGAGAAGATGTTTGAATTTTGCGGACGATATCATCTCGCAGACATTGAGAATCAGCTTCAAAATAGACATCAAAAGTCCTTATATTATATTTCCCGAACATGGATCAATTCAAAAGTACGTTTATACGATTTACAAAAGAAGGTGCGTACAAATGTCGTTTTGCATATTAATATGCATATTAATATTTTTTTTCAGAGGAGGGCATATACTCGTCCTGGATCTCGGTAACATAACGCTAACCAACGAGCTTCAAGCAACGAATTTGCAATTGGAGGACGCCACTCTCATGGAACTGGAAGAATTGCTCTACGACAGGCTCAACATGATGTTCTCCGGCGCGCAGATTTTATTTTGTCACTCAGGCGACGATTGGCGCTCGGCGAGAAAACGGAGTGATTCGGAGTATCATTTGCTACCTAAGCTGCAAGCAAATGTGACTCTTTCGTACAGTATTAGACCCGAATATCGTCAGCTACCACGGTACATATGCACAGTTGCGTCGCAATCCTCAGTTCTGTTTATGCATCGTTTCAACGTACAATGTTCCACAGGACAAAACTCAACGTAAACATCTCGAACGTGAAATTCAATCTGTCAGAAAATAAACTGCGACTGCTGGCATATTTCCTGAATAAATTGCTAGTGCTATACGAAAACAATATTGAGAAGTATAAAGCTACCATAAAGAGCTCGATTTCCGGACGAAAATCGAGCATTGTTTTCATTTCAACGAAAGAATTGATGAAAGTACAATCCAGCGTATGCTTGCCATCCGTCATAATGATGCATAGTGATTTTAACCCTATCGTTAAGGAAGTTGTAACTAATAATGTACCAAAGCTTGACAGGTAATGATTTATATATACATAAATAAATTTTCAATGAGTTTCGATGAGGTAATTCTAATTTTTTAATAGGAGTGTCGTCTCGTCGGAAGTTAGCGAAGAGGACTTGGAGTTACTATCTAAAACGATTAACTTGTCCGGATTTGACGATAATATATCTCCGTGTAATCACATCAATTTGTTACTTCGATTTGCCGTAGGGGAGGCAAGTACAGTTTCACATTAAGCGTATTTTATTGTACGAACAAAGTGTCATTGAAATCGATCCGAAATTCTAGTTCTCCGTAAATCTGGAAGACATGGCGGACAGCCGAGAGCAACCTTACTTGAATTTGAGATTGCACACCTTGTACTACGAAACGGCGATAATGGAGTACGGTGTTGCCGTTCAGTTCGGCATTGGATCGATTTTCCTGGTCGATAAGACAAACGCTGGCGTAACCGGATCGTATTTGGAATTGATATCCACCGACGAGTCGTACGAGGTTCTCGTTGTGTCGTATCGTAAGGTAAGTTGTGGAAATACGGATATTACGTGTCCCGATTCGAAGAATATTAACTCAATTTTCTCTTCAGGTTAAATCAAATTGCCCCGATTTCAAGTCTCACTTTAAAAATATTGAACGCTCGCTGATTGTGAATCTGCTGAATATTAACGTGAATTTTCACAGATCCGCCTTGTTGAAAATGAAAGACTACTGGCATAAGTTTCAAACGTAAGTAGAACAGTTTTTTTTAAATAAAAATAAATTTTAATATATTATTTTATAATCATATCAAATCCTTAAAAATATATTCGTCATATATATATATATATATATATAT